CACACACAACGAGGGAGCCCACGAAATGTCCCAAACTCACAGCCACAGCCTGTAGATTGTACTGTCGCTCATCACCCCCCAGTTCAAGTAAGCAGACCTCCAGCGCCGCTGCCTACAAAAGACATCGAAGAGCATGACTTGATTTATAAGTACGCACCGTTACAATATTCAGATTTTCTGATTGTCCCTTTTTTGTTTTGCATTTTCCATTCTATAATCAGTTTGGATGTATTCACACCGTGGAATATCCACACCAGCACCTCACAGAGAGAATTATGACTGAATAAACCTATTAAATTAGCGCATCACCCTTGTTGCGGATACAGGGCACTAATACAGGGCACTACAGGGCACCAGTCTGTCTGCAACTGGGCATCAGCATCGCACAGTTCACAGACACCCACCTTGGGGCTAGAGTTCGTCCCGGTAGGCGTTCTGGAGCCCAGCGCTGGGTGGGGAGCCCTTCAGGGTCTTGTGGGACCCCCGCCAGTCCGTCCGGACCGAATCGTCGTCCCACAGCGTGGAAGTCTCGGTGTCGCTCACCCACTGCGGGTCCCCGGCGTAGTGGCAGGGCTGCACCAGCAGAGGGCGTGTGGAGTACACCTGCAGGTTGCGGTTGGGGAAATGCTCCTTGTACTTCTCACTGCCAGGAGGAAACGACAGCAGTCCGATGGGTCAGTATCGGGCCACACAACAGGATATGACGCCAAGGAACAGGTAAAGGTTTATTCCACGCTGAGAGGCGAGAAGACACAGCGTTTCGGTTGTGGAGCCTTCTTCAGGTGTGTATTGCTAGAAGTCTGCTTTCCTGTTTAGACACAGATTATTTTTTCCAGAAACAAACCTAAAGCTAAAACCAGCAGGCATTATTCAAAGGTGATATAGTGTTAAGCTTCACAAGAATCTCCTAATTAACGACTACTTAAGTCCTGAGAAGGAAATGAGCATATTGACCAATGACGTAAATGTACACACACCTGACGAAGACTCCACAGCCAAAGCGTTGTGTCTTTTGTTTGCAGTTCTGCATGGAATCAACTTTTACTTGTTCCTTTGCAGCCTAGGCATGCTGACACAGCCCCCTACTTGGAACTCCATCTAACAGGACATGATTTCACCACCGGCCAATATTAACACCACAGATGGATCAGATTTCTGAAGCGTGCTGCCTGTATGTGCACATTTTACACGAACACAAACCCCGGTCGTTTCCCTGACCGCGGCTGACGAGATCGTCAGATGGAGACTTCGGGGAGGAGCGGAAATTAACAGCTGAAGCTGCAGAGTTACTGAATACAGCCCTGCTCCCACATTTAGACCACAGGCAGGAGAGCCAGTAGTTGCCACACTTTGAGCCTGTGGACCTGAGCAGGGAACCTACTGGTAACAAACTCTCCACCTAGATCACCAAAGCAGCGTATTACAGGACAAGGAACAAGTAAAGGTTGATTCCATGCTGGAAAGAGAAACACAAACACAAGAAGCTTCAGGTGTGGACACACCCAAAGACGGCTCCACAGCCGAAACGTTGCGTTTCTTCACTTCTCTTTTCAACGTGAAATAAACCTTTACTTGTTCCTCTGCGGCCTACTGTCGTGGAATTTTATCAAAGAGCCAGGAGAGGTGATCTCATTCACTCAGTAATCAACCTTTACTTGTTCCTTGTCCTGTAACACGCTGCTTTGATGATCTAGGTGGAGAGTTTGTTACCAGTAGGTTCCCTGCTCAGGTCCACAGGCTCAAAGTGTGGCAACTGCTGGCTCTCCTGCCTTTGGGCTAAGTGTGGGAGCAGGGCTGTATTCAGTAACTCTGCAGCTTCACCTGTTAATTAGGCAGAGCGGTGGCCCTGTGGCTCAGGATCTGCGCCTGTGGCTGGAAGGTTGCTGGTTCATATCCTGCAGCCGACAGAGGAATCCTACTCCGTTGGGCCCCTGAGCAAGGCCCTTAACCCCAGTTGCTCCAGGGATGCTGTACAGTGGCTGACCCTGCGCTCTGACCCCCAGCTTCTCTCTCCCTGTCTGTGTGTCTCATGGAGAGCAAGCTGGGGTCTGCAAAAAGACGAATTCCTAATGCAAGAAACTGTATGTGGCCAATACAGTG